TAGGTTTCACGTACATCAATTACGATCAGCAATACCCCTTTTAGTTCATCGATGCTTTCAACACTTACATCGGTCAGATGAGGCTACTTGCTCGCTTCCATGCGAAACTGCAGAAGGTCACTTGTCAGCTCCACACTACGGAACTGACCTTCCAGCAGGAGCGGTTGTACAGCAGTTGTCAGCACGCAGCTGCTTCGTAAACAACCTCAGCATCAGTCTGCGTCACTGAGTTCTTATCAGCATCTACGCAGCCATCTATGCAGCTATAGATCAGTGGCACATTGTACCTTGCTAGGCAACGAACGTTTATTCGCTAAAGCGGCCACAAGTCTGGTCATCTCCACCGCCTGATTTGCTTTTAGCAATTCGCGGTGTCACCTGAGCTCAATCTGTTTAACTGCCAGTTCCAACTCGGCAATAATCTGCTTCTGTCTTAATTCCGCTAACAGAAGCTGTGAACGCTAACTTGAGAGCCAGAGTGGAAAGCCGCATCAACAATGACTTGCCTCGTTCTTCCATCCTGTCTACAGACGTGATCGCCAAAGTAATTGGCATTGCAGAAGTTCCCATGAATCAAACAACGTTGGAGAGAATGGTGGTGATTGAGTACCTTCAAACTGAGCCCTTACCAAATTCAGCACTCACAAATTCAGCGCTAAAAACGTGAGCAGCTCCAGAATGGACTACTACTGTACAAGGTGCGCAAAAAATTAATTACTGTAAAGTTCACACAACGAACGTTGCATTAAGCGTAGCTAATGCTCCCACAAACAGAACAAACTTGAAGCGCCACAATAAAAGCACTCTTGAATTACGTACAGTTAAGTAAATCGGGCATGCCACAATTGTTCAGAATCCCAGTGAATAAGAAGCAAGAAAAATTGCATATAAAAAATAGGAAGGAAAGCGCTGTTCACGCCAGACAGCTAGAGGACAAGTAAATACACCTAAGCACGACTGGAAAAGGTTGACCAAAAGCCCTATGATAGCGCAGCTCTACGAAGGACAGAGAATTTGCGTTAGTTATCAGGCTATCCAATCGGAGCCATGTGCTTAACCGCATGGCACACACCTTTTACCTCGGGCAGGAATTTATCTACTCCGATAACTGGTAACCCATAGATCAATGAGGTGTAGTACGCAAGTTGCGCACCTGCTTGTGGACAGACAGGCCAAGATCACCGTTCGAACATTGGATAGATTTACTAGATAAGTTTAAGCACACGTTAAGCTTCTTAAGCGGATCACTGTTTCAGCGGTGGAACGCGAGGATACGCTCACGTTGATGAATTTTATGCAACCTGAGTTGGAGCAAGTCGCTGATGGCCAGCGCAGGCATATTCTTCAATTATATGGGGAGTGTGGACGTAATGCAGCCGAGGCAGTGAAACGATACAACAGCATAACCTCGGGAAGGCGGCCTGTAGTGTGTGCAACGCCCGAATTACAGGGCGGCCTCGCACCACAACGGATGAGAGTTCGACTAGTGCTGTTATCCGCCAAGTGACCGAAAGAGCGGATCTCAGCATCCGTACAATCGTTCAAAATTGTGACACCACCCGTTACGCAGTTCAGTGGATTGTAAAAGAAAACGACTTTCGTCGGTATGGTTCACGTCGAGTGCAAGTGTTGAACCCATGCGATCCGGAGAAGCGGCTTGTATTTTGTAGCTGGTTCTTGAATGCCGTGGATATTCACTCCATTATTTTCACCGACGAAGCGATATTCCAGTTGCATGGAATACAATGATATCACTTTTGGGCGACAACAAATCCACGACGCTGCCGAGCTTCCCGTATGCAACATAGTCCCAAGCTAATGATTTGGGCTGGACTGACTGGTCGAAAGATTGTCGGAGCATTTTTTTTTCCAATCATGTGACCGGTAGGTTGCTGTCTTAATATATTAATGCCATACCTTTCCTAGCAAACAAATGCTACAGACTTGTGTACTCCCACACCTGCAGGCCGAGGGTGTTTCCAGCACCATTTGGCGGCAACATGATGGCGCACCTGTCCATTATTCACAACCGGTGCTGGATTATATGAACGAAACATTCGGTCACCGGTGGATCGGTCGCGGAGGTTCAATAGAGCGGCCTGCCCGGTTACTAGATTTGAACCCCTTAGATTTCATTTTATGGGATTATTTGAAACGAAGAGTATACACGACAATGCCTACTGTAATGAAACAACTGAAGGACTGTGTTCTCGACGAATGTCGCGCCGTCAACACGGAAACTTTGCAAAATGTTCTGGCCAATTGCCTCAGGCGATTTCTGCACTGCAAGCAGAATGCCGGCTTGCATATGGAGCATCTTCTTCGTTGACAAATATATCACTGTTTATGTTGTTCACGTTAATATACTTAATCACCGTTATTACTGATTTCTGGTCAAAATTGGTGCACGGGCACATGGTGTCATAGGGGTGTCGCGCCAGAATGAATGCAACGAGCAAAGCTGATTCGACAGCGCTTAAACTGACCACTTCTATGCAATCGGGTTCATGATGTCAACACTTGTGTTTCATGATTATGCCTAAGAAATACGGGGATGATGTGAACGAGATATCAATATGAAAATAGCCTACGCGGTTTCGAATTTTATCGTCTTCATCAGCGTATAGACTCTGGCGTGGGATGAGTGTTTCTGAACAATAACATACTGGTCACTGAAAGGGGAAATGTACATGGCTCCTAGGGTTGTGACGCAGAATTCACCAAGCGTTGGATTATTCATCCAATAATAAGGAAGGGTAGCTGGGTTATGACCGTCGTAAGACAGGTTGGTTTCACCCTATTAATGAGTGCAATGACACAATGAAGTACAAACTGGCCGTTGTTATGGCAATCCTGATTAGTACGAGAGGAACCGCAGGTTTAGGGATTTGGGCTATGTGCCATGAATGTTGTTCGCTAGACAACTTAGATTTGTCTCACATATCTGCCTCCTATTTGTCACATTCTTTGGTATCACCAAAACTGATGACTCATTGTTGTCCTATAAAAACAATGGTACATTGATAGGTTGCATAAATGAAATCCTCTTCTGATTTTATGTTAGTAGATGGTTGCGGGCCCGCGAAAACGCGCCACAAACTCAGGCGTAATGGCTGTGGAATTTGACGTTCGATTCCTTCCCCACTGGCAGCAGATTTCAGCCACCCCGAGACGCGGCACAACTGCGCACATTTTGACAATGTTCTCTTAGAAACTGCCACCCCTTCGCGGTAGCTATTTTCACTAACTTAATGGCCCATAATATTGGATGTGATTCACCCTTTGTTGGTCGTAAAAGAGCCTTCAGACGACCACTTATCTTGCTTTCTCTTCACCATCAGTTCGGAGTCGGTTCGGTCACGTGATTTTGTGTGCGTCAATAGCCAGGCAGCTTTAGCGTCCAAGCCACTAGCGCGCGCCTACCGTCACTCGCTCCCATGTGCGTAGCCTCGTCCGCTACGAGGGCTCATCGTCCACCCGAATACGTCTAGCTAAGAAGGTTCTCAAGTTACCTCGACTGCCCGCCTCACTAGCGCGTACCCCAGGATAACCTAACGCCATCAGGTCAGCGCAAATCCGTTCGATCGGTCAGCGTTCCAAGTCGTTATCGTAGGCGTTCTCAAACCGTCTCAGTGGCAAACGTGTCAGGCTCAAATTCTCACCAGAGTTGTCTCTCATTCTTAACATCTATACTGTTATTTTCTTCATGTTACTCAAATTGATGGCCTTTTGGTGACCTATATATACAAGTCCACATAAATGAGTTGGATAGATGGGATATATTTTTGATTTTTAACCAAACAGTTTTTCGCTGTGCTCTTACTTAGCTTGAAGACCCCATGATGGCATTTGAAACACATACGAACCTTAGCAGGTTGGATAAGCAAGCTTTTTCCTTAGACTTCGTATATTGTTTCCTTTCCGTTGCACAGCTAGATGAAATGCATGAGTGCCTGCAAGACATAGACCAACTGAAAGGGTGAATTGTTGATGGACGCAACTAACCCACCAAATTTATGTACGCAATTCTACTTGCGCTGTGTTATCACATCTTACCTCTTGTGTTAGGTAAGTCATTATTTCTAACTGACTAGTTTCATGATGGATGCGGTTCACAGTTATACAGTCAGTTGTGTTATCTTGCCTGCTAACACACCTTCAAATTTATAAAATATTGTCATACCAATGTTAGGAACCCTTAACATACATTTTCCATGTACATATTGCCATTTACCTCCTAAAACTTTGTTATTTTGTTTCCTTCTCCAAACCATCCGCTTAAAGGTATATGAAAGTTCTGCACTTGTCGTAGATTCCGACGAATTTTGAAACGAAACCAAGGGCGCAAAAACCAATGGAATTGGAACCCCATGTGTTTTGTACAGCAATTTGGTAGAGCCATTCTACATTTCCTTTGTACGTATGATCGGACCGGCTTAGCTAGGCTGTGCCTCAACTAGTTGAGAATATACCAATTATACGGGCCAGCGCAGCTCGAAGAGAGGAAATAAATGAGAGTCAGACTCTCAAATCATTCTGCCATGCAGGGATAGGACTAAATGTCTCGCAGTGTGATAGCTGCTGGAGAAGTTACGTTTACCCGACAAAAAAGTAAGTCGTTTACAAACGATTTGTTGCCATCAAGCCCATTCCATATAAGGATATTGTGTCGAGCTCCATACCCCGATTTCCGGAGTACAGTTTCGGTCATATCGCTGTGGTACTACACCAGACCTACCAGTCGTAGCGCGGCATATAGCCCAGTCCAAGTGCCAGCAGGAATACGTAAGCTTGCGTTACCACGTCATAGACAGAGAGTGCACCGTTTCAAATCTGGACGGGATTCAGACTTAGAGGTGATCAGCCCTAATACCTCATGGTAGCTTCGCAACACTTACTTTTTGACCAGGCAGACGGTTCCTCTCGTACTAATCAGGATTGCCATAACAACGGCCAGTTTGTACTTCATTGTGTCATTGCACTCATTAATAGGGTGAAACCAACCTGTCTTACGACGGTCATAACCCAGCTACCCTTCCTTATTATTGGATGAATAATCCAACGCTTGGTGAATTCTGCGTCACAACCCTAGGAGCCATGTACGTTTCCCCTTTCAGTGACCAGTATGTTATTGTTTAGAAACACTCATCCCACGCCAGAGTCTATACGCTGATGAACACGATAAAAATACGAAACCGCGTAGGCTATTTTCATATTGCTATCTCGTTCACATCATCCCCGTATTTCTTAGGCATAATCATGAAAGACAAGTGTTGACATCATGAACCCGATTGCATAGAAGTGGTCAGTTTAAGCGCTGTCGAATCAGCTTTGCTCGTTGCATTCATTCTGGCGCGACACCCCTATGACACCATGTGCCCGTGCACCAATTTTGTCCAGAAATCAGTAATAACGGTGATTAAGTATATTAACGTGAACAACATAAACAGTGATATATTTGTCAACGAAGAAGATGCTCCATATGCAAGCCGGCATTCTGCTTGCAGTGCAGAAATCGCCTGAGGCAATTGGCCAGAACATTTTGCAAAGTTTCCGTGTTGACGGCGCGACATTCGTCGAGAACACAGTCCTTCAGTTGTTTCATTACAGTAGGCATTGTCGTGTATACTCTTCGTTTCAAATAATCCCATAAAAAGAAATCTAAGGGGTTCAAATCTAGTAACCGGGCAGGCCGCTCTATTGAACCTCCGCGACCGATCCACCGGTGACCGAATGTTTCGTTCATATAATCCAGCACCGGTTGTGAATAATGGACAGGTGCGCCATCATGTTGCCGCCAAATGGTGCTGGAAACACCCTCGGCCTGCAGGTGTGGGAGTACACAAGTCTGTAGCATTTGTTTGCTAGGAAAGGTATGGCATTAATATATTAAGACAGCAACCTACCGGTCACATGATTGGAAAAAAAATGCTCCGACAATCTTTCGACCAGTCAGTCCAGCCCAAATCATTAGCTTGGGACTATGTTGCATACGGGAAGCTCGGCAGCGTCGTGGATTTGTTGTCGCCCAAAAGTGATATCATTGTATTCCATGCAACTGGAATATCGCTTCGTCGGTGAAAATAATGGAGTGAATATCCACGGCATTCAAGAACCAGCTACAAAATACAAGCCGCTTCTCCGGATCGCATGGGTTCAACACTTGCACTCGACGTGAACCATACCGACGAAAGTTGTTTTCTTTTACAATCCGCTGAACTGCGTAACGGGTGGTGTCACAATTTTGAACGATTGTACGGATGCTGAGATCCGCTCTTTCGGTCACTTGGCGGATAACAGCACTAGTCGAACTCTCATCCGTTGTGGTGCGAGGCCGCCCTGTAATTCGGGCGTTGCACACACTACAGGCCGCCTTCCCGAGGTTATGCTGTTGTATTGTTTCACTGCCTCGGCTGCATTACGTCCACACTCCCCATATAATTGAAGAATATGCCTGCGCTGGCCATCAGCGACTTGCTGCAACTCAGGTTGCATAAAATTCATCAACGTGAGCGTATCCTCGCGTTCCACCGCTGAAACAGTGATCCGCTTAAGAAGCTTAACGTGTGCTTAAACTTATCTAGTAAATCTATCCAATGTTCGAACGGTGATCTTGGCCTGTCTGTCCACAATCAGGTGCGCAACTTGCGTACTACACCTCATTGATCTATGGGTTACCAGTTATCGGAGTAGATAAATTCCTGCCCGAGGTAAAGAGGTGTGTGCCATGCGGTTAAGCACATGGCTCCGATTGGATAGCCTGATAACTAATGCAAATTCTCTGTCCTTCGTAGAGCCGTGGCTCGTGTTTACTTTGATTTATATCACACCGTTACCGACGAGACAAAACCAAATATGGTCAATTGTCGTTTTTGAGGGAATAAAATTGAACCGCAGAACATGTGTGAGTGTACAGATAATTGGACATTTACCAAGGTACATTTGGGGGGAGTATATGAATGACCACATTATCCGTGTCTTTTGAGGACATGTCTCAGTGCACGAGCACACACGATGGTAGGTTAGGTAAATGATCGGAAAAGCACAATCCGTGTCGTCAGATATAAACTTCAAGGTGAATTTTACATTTATGCAGGATCATGTTACCATGAAATTTTTGCTTTTGAGGTATCTAATGAGCAACATTGCCGGGATAACTTCCACTACTCTGGATAACGCTGGTAAGATATTGTTTGGACGGTAGTCAGAAGGCTCTCACTATTGAAATATGAGTAAGTATTCCATGTTTCCACATGGTCGGAACCACTATTTCCTCATAGCTTGGTTAGGAGAACCGAGCTAACTGTTCGGCGGAATATATGGCGGTGGTATTTAATGCATGCTGTCTGATCTGATTCACATCAAGAGACCTGTGCACCCGAAAGTTCAACAGCTTTTTCATCACATTTGAAACAGTGAATTATACGTGGCTCAATTCTGAAGGCAGCGCGAGCTGTGTTAAAAAAGGGTGAGATAACTATTTTTACTTTGAGAAGTGCGGATAAACTGTTGCTGAAGCGCGTTTGCCACATCTTGCGTAAGAAGCGCCAGCCGATCTACTGCAGGGATGCCCAAAGTCCGGCCCGCGGACAAATGCAGCCTGCGTTAACATTTCAATTGGCCCGTGGCCTCATCATGAAATAATAAATTCAGGCTTGGACACTTTTTGTACATGTGTGATTTTTGTTATTCTCTTCAGATCAGACTGAATATGACCCGACACCTTTTACGTCACAAAATGTGGCCCCCTTGCAAAAAGTTTGGACACCCCTGATCTACTGCATTTATAATTGGGATCCCGCGCTGCGCTTGTCGGAGCTTTTTTAAGTGCTTGTAGAGCATCACCTTAAGAGTAGTAGAGAATTTCATCTAGTAAGGTGAAAGCATCCTGCTCCAGAGTTCGAACGAATCCAGTTATTTGAAGCACTTCTGCACCGCTTCTGCTTGAAGTCTCTGTCAAGCGGAACACAGCATACACGACAGTAACTGACATAACAAACATAGTTGTTGCCGCATGCAGATCACTGATATGCATTTTCGCTGCGACCCATTACATGTGCTGGGCTGGGTAGTGCAAATTGAATATTTTGATGATTCCTTGGGGAAACACGGTGTATGAAGCATTGTGACGCTATTCCCTTTGAGCCCTTCATCCCAACCCTAGGCGTGTCATAGCTTGCCCCAATCCAAGCTCTGTGAGCAGATTTGCCTAACTGCTTTTCCGTTCCTTTGCTCGCCGAGATGTTTGTCTCCCCAAACTCGTTCCATAATACGCTCACTAACATGTTTATTACCTTGTCTTCCCACGATTCTAATTTGCCTCTACACTTTCGTTTCGCACCGATTAGGATTGTCTGTTCACTTCTTCATCTGCATCTGTCCATCTGTGACCAAGTTGGTAAGCGCCGCTTGCAGATTGCTCACATGCCACGTTAAGGCTTACGCAGCATTCGTTCCATTCGTGTGATCCACCAATCGTCCTTGCAGGTGCTTTGGTTGGAGGCGTCGTTGTTCACATATGCGTTGTTAATCCACATTTATTGATATGTAAATAGTACCATTATCCAGAGTTGACCTTATTCGTCATTCAATCCTAGTGGCTTTTTTTCCTTTACATGATGTACGGGGAAAACATTCATGCGTGTTAACGCTGAAGGGCAGGACAAGTATTCATGGACACATTAACAGATGGAAAACAAGTTGTATAGTCGAACGTATGCAGAACCTCAGATTTCAGTGATTGTTAGAAGAGTTTCACATAATGCAAAATCCCGTTATATACAAATTTCTATTTGGACAAACGAGTCGTTTGGCGACCATTGCACAGTAAACCTTCACACAGTGAAGTCCTAGACGTTAAAAAATGATGGCTGTTATAGCATACAATTTACGAAGGTGGCCAATTTACGGAGGTATGATTCCATAGGGGTTGCGCGGTAACAGTTTGAAATATGAAAAAACGGCCAGCTTAGGGAGGTGGTCAGAATATAGAGTTGGTCAACTTCTAGGTTTTACTTTATTTGTGCGTTGACGCAGGATGTTTGGATGGATGAATAGGGTAAGCGGAGGCTGACCAAGAAAACAAAGATCAGCGCCACTGGGTGAAACAGCACTGGCTGCTACGATAGCATTCAATCATTGTTGAAACACTTGGCATAGGTCAGCACTCTCAAAAGGTAGCTGCCGCGTTACTCTTAGCTTCGCTACGGTGAATACTTTTGCCTGCAGTTTCCCCTCCCTAGATTGATTGATGTAGTAAAGTGGGTAACTAACTTATACATGGGTGTCAGTTATGGGATGCGTGCTGTTTTTGCTAAACAGCATAGACTATACCATGCCTGCACCGGCTGGGACTGAGCTGTTTAAGTCCAGGTACTGCCTGTTCCTTGCGCGTTTCCGATAAGCCTATCATTTTAATTAACCAGAATCCCAACGAGTTATCACGGGATGTAAAGGAATGGTAAAGCATCATGTCACCCAGATGTAGGAATGCGAGCCGCGCAGTTTGTTACCTCACTGAGCTAAACAATATTCTAGGTCACAAATGTGTAGGGAATCGTCTAGGTATTTACGGGACGGCACAGTTTGATCGATCTAAAATTTTTAACTTTCTTTTCAAGAACATTGATGAAAGAGTTCCCCGACGCTGATCCGAATGGCTAGCGATTGCCACGCTATTTCCCTAAAGAAAGCTTCTTTGAACATAGGACCTTGAGGTTTGTGTACGTTAAAGCTGTTGTTCTAACACCAAGACTGAAAGACCATATGAGCGCATATGTGCATATGACCCGTAGGATGCATTGGAAGTAGGTTTGGTAAATTGAGTTAACTTGTTAGTCACTTGTCCAACTCGGATTTACCAGCGCTATCCAGTGGACCTAGCGCTGCGGGATTGACAAGCACACCATCACTGCATCCATTCTTGTTAATTCAACGGGCCTTTCACAGATATTCAGTCCCGCATCAACCTTTACATTTTAGTGCATACCAGCATTTGTAATCTA